TCTCAGATTCACGATATTATCATATGATATGATCAACAGCGGTATTTTTTCTCTCTGGAAAAAAAATATATCTATAATGACTTTCTACCAGCACCTATAACCCTTTCACTTGATTATTTTAATGTTGATGATTGCTGTTCCACGGCTCACAATGAATTTCGAAAAATGTAATAAGTTGCTAACGGCAATCGATATATTTGAAGAGCAGTGATCGTGGGTTTTTTATTTTGTGAAACAACTTTTTTTTGGATGTGGCGCCACTTGATTTGGTTTTGCTAAAATCGAGAATTAAGTAATATTCATGTGCCAGAAAGTTATTTATAACCTTGTAATGTAATTCAACACCGCTGCAGGTGCAGTAGGATCTTACAATCTATTTGATGTTTTAATTTATATAATATTCATTATGGTCATATAAGAATGATATTTGAAACATGTGTTTCATATCAAATTCATTTGAAAAGATATTATTCGATATAAGATTGAACTCTAAAATATAAGTAAATTTTGGAATGGCAATCAAATTTGGCGAGAGAAAAAACTAGAAATTTTTCCTCACATAATTCCATTATTGCTGGATGTTATCAGGTGTTAACAAGTGTTGTCTTTCATGTGAATGACTACATATCGAAATATTTCTGCTTTTTGGTGATTTAATGTATATTCTGTCCTTGAGGAAGTCTTTGAAGTGATAATGGTTGAATTAAAGTTACTCAGTTATCATTCTATAATTGCAAAATAGTAGGACTATATTCTCAGAAATGACTGACGTTTATGCCTTGATCTGATGATCTCTTGCAGTGGCATACAGAAATTATACTGAATAAATGAGGAAAAATAACGATAAAATATATGGACCCACAATCTGGACAACGAGGTTTTCGTTTGAATGCAATCATATTTCTGAGAATTCAGTGCCTACTATTATGGAATTGTTTAATTGTACAATTGTAAAAAATCGGCAGATCTACAGAAAGTGATCAATACTCTAAGGTAAAGGCTTCCACTAGAAATAAGGAGAAACACAAAAAGTTGTAAATGAAGTGAAACACTTCACTTTCGCTCTTGAAACATTTTTCTGTTTAGAACTATCAACGCAATCTCGTCCTTGGCGCCATGACATACACGTTGACGAAATTCGTCGATCAAAAACTACTAAAATACCTTAAATTTACTTCATATGGAGTATTCATTGAGTATTCCTTCCTGTTTCAACGAATCACAGATTTCGATAATGGCTCACAATTATTGTTTGCCATACGTACATCCATTTGACCAAATACAAGATCAAATCAAAAGGATTATTTCATGCTGAATTACAGCATGAATCATTGGTGAGTAGATGAAGTGTTCTGGAAACCTTTTTTTTTTCAACTAGTAAACCTGAAAATTTCACCAGAAAATAATTTTTTCGACAACACCTCAATTTGTTTCAGGCTACACCAATCATAGATGAAAGGAAAGCCAAGATTATCATGAAAAATGAATACATACATTTCCATAAATGAATGATACATTTTCTGAAACATAACGATTGTTGGTCCTGTTTTCAGAAATCGAGAATAAATGTTCCAATTTGAACTCCATCGATGAAAATTATGAACGATAAACAGTACAATTCTATGAAAATGATTTGTGAAACTGTTCTGAATGAACTTTTGAATTGAGTGATTTGAATATGACACAAGTTGGACAGTAAATTGATGAAAACAAATTTTCATGTTACAGACTTTGTGACGTTCTGTATTTTAATCTATCTTGCGAAGTATTCCATCTAACTTGTCTACCTTTGAATTTTGATTGAGGGCCATCGATTTTTGTAATTTCTTCCTGACGTTCCGCCGGCACGAGTGGCTAGCTTCTTCAGAGGTTAATACATATATACTGAGTAATCTCTTATGACTGTATATTACGGCTGCGTAAGGCATATTCATGTTGACTCAGTTGAGTGTGCTGATACCATTACCTGAATTAGGTAAATTGTGTAGAGCTTGTTCATGTTGACTCAAGTAGTTTGGTGTGCCAATACTTGTACGGCTGCGTGAAGTGTGTTCATGTTGACTCAGAGTGCTTGGTGTGCTAATATCTGTACCTGGATTAGGTAAATTGACAATAACATTTGTCAACTCTTTTCTACCCGGCGTCATGCTGTTTGCTGTTCTTGAACTTCTCAGAATGGAATTATATTTTCGGTTGAAGTTCACCGCTTCCCCTTTTCTGTTGAAATCATCCGCATATTTGTGGATCTCTATTGCGTCCCGTACCAGCGGCTATAGTATCCCTGGTTGAGGGCAATGAGTTTCGTATTTTTAAATAGAATCCTGTGGTTTCCTTCACAAAGTGCGCCACAGTCGACTTATCGATTTGGCCTAGTCTGTAGTTTCTTTCATGCTCCTTTAGCCTTTTTCCCATGAATTTTTTGGTGGTTCTGATGTATACCTTCCCACATGTTCACGGTAGTGGGCCCCTCTTATATTTAGCTGACTTGGGACTCTGTTGAATCTTCTTGATGGGTTTGAAAACCATTTTAATGTTGTGTTTTCCCAACAGTTTCATAATTCTGCCCGTGACCCTAGCGATATATGGTAGATACGCACGTGCAACCGTCTGAGCCTCATCTTTGTTTTGAGCCGTGGAACTCTTCAGTTTCATGATAATGTTGATCTTGGTTACATCATATCCATTGGATCCCAAGGTTACTTGGAGCCGTTGCAGTTCTTCCTCGAAATGCTCTGGTTCATATATCCCTCGAGCCCGTTCAATAAGAGTAGAGATGACTCATATCTTTTTTGACTAGGATGGTGGTTTGATAGTGCATGTAGATATCTATCCGTGTATGTGGTTAGTCTAGCACCACATCATTCGATGAGTACATATAGGAATGCTATCTGTTGGTCCTGTTGGGTCTCCATGGTGAACTTGATGCTGGGGTGTTGAGCGCCAAAGTGGTCTAAGAAAAGATTTAGAGCGTCCCTTCCATGTTTCCAGGTGTCATCTTCGTAACATAGCCACAAGCTCGGTTTTAATTCAATGGTGTCAATTGCTTTCTCTTCAAAACGTTCCATGAAGTAATTGGTTATCGCTGGGCTGAGTGAACTTTCCATCTGTGAACCTTAACCGAATATGGAATTCCATTCTAAAAAGTTAGAAAATAGCAAATGGCATGATGGCAGTTAGAAAAGGTTCGACGAATGTTATTGATAATTTACCTAATCCAGGTACAGATATTAGCACAACAGGCACACTGAGTCAACATGAATACGCTTTTTTACGATTTTTAATATCAAGTCATTGGAGATAACTCAGGATGTATAAACCTATGAAGTGATACAGAGTTCATTATTGTCAGGAAGTTAACGATGAACATTTTAGGCATTCATCGAAATGAACTGGAGTGAGTTTGAAATAGTTTTTTTTTGGATATTTATCAATTGTTTGCTATAGTGAAGGCTAAAACGATTTGCAAAAATGAAAAAGTAATGAGTGGAGATCGATCAAAGTGTCACAAGACCGCACTTTCTGTTTGAGAAAAACATTGACAGCTCTCTCTCTTTCTCTCTCTCTCTTTCTCTCTCTCTCTCAACGACGAGTGATGCAACACTGATATTGAAAATACTGAAAATGATGCGTTTCGAGTTCGTTTTGCCCAACCTCGATATCTTGTTTCGTTCAGAAGTTAAGAGGGTGGGACTTTTTACATTCGCACTGTATACTGATATTGGAACGGTACCGAGATGGTTGGTTCAGCATCTGTGTAAAAATGACAAGCACAATTGTGAAACATTTCTCATTTCACGAATCACACTAAACAGATCTTTGATGAAATAAAAAATATCAACTGGACTAAAATGTTACAAATAGTACTAGTGAAAATACGCAAAGAAAACTTGCTATACCGCACAAATTTTACCACTCAGTAAAAATATAGTTATTATGGTACTTTTCAACTGGGTAGTTTGTCTGATTGGGTTTCATAACTACTATGGGAGAGTGAGGATGGAATTGGTTGACATTGAATAAAGTTGCACCGTTACTTACTGAAACTCTATTCAGAGTTGACTAATTCAACATTGAACAATTTCTTTACTGAAAACTTTATGTTGAATACTGTTATTCATAGTCGCAAAATTAACAAGGACGTAATGGAAGCTAATTGCAATCAAGTGACCATCGAGGGCAAACTTGCAAAAGACAATCGGTCGGAAATATGAATAATGTGACTAAACAGAAATATTAGCACCGATCAGAAAGGTGCAACTTACAACGTAGTCGATGACTCATATCCGGTTTAAAAGAAATTACACGAACATATCCAAAGTGTGAAGACAAGTGAAGTACCATTTTGTACTGAAGTAAAGATATCCTGCTGAAAATGTTCGATATCTAAATCGATCAACTGAATTTGAATGATTGGAAGTTGAGATTGAAAGTTGAACGTTTGATGTACCAATATTCGTCCTTTTTATCGTGTAATCAAAAAATTCCTTTCTCCGAATGCTCCTTGGTGGAACATTGAATTGTAATTGTGACAGTAATTCTTACTAGTCAATTTGGTTTTTAATAATCTTAGTTGAAAATAATACGTCACCGAGAGTTCTTCTATCGGCTAGTCGGAGAATTTTTTAATTTCCCTGTACAAGGGAATTGGTTTTGTATACCAATTTGTAAAAATTTGTTTTGGATTTTTTTCGGTCTATTGATATCTATTGCGTATATTGGGTTCAAGATTATAGAGCAAAATCTTAATTTACTGTGGATATATGCACTGTATAATGAAATTAATTTTTTAGGGTTTTAAAAATATTTGCTGTGGCTTTGGTTTACTTCAATGTAGAAAGAAAAAGTTGCCCCAGGGGGATCTCATTGAAAAAATCTATGTGTGTAAGTAATTGTAATTTTGTCTCAGTTATGGAAATTTTCAAACAAAACAAGGTCTGTTTTCAAATTAGATTGGTAGAAATAACCAATATGGTGTTTTTTTCATGAAATTGAAAAATTACCTTTGAGTTCTTTACCATCAGGAGAGCAAGGTCCCTTATCCAACAGACAATTCACATAATTTTTCAATAATCTCTCGCTGTGTAAAATTTCTTCATAATCAATGTTGTCGTACTTAGTTGTGTACTTTTCATCACCATTCACATACAACGCTAAGAGAAAAATATGAATAATCAGGAATATACTCATTTTGGTAGTTACTTAGATGAAATCTCACTTCAACTGAATAATTTTTTTTTAGGATGAACGTTGAGATGGGGTTGTTCATGAAGCGTGAAATTGGTACATGTCCATTTCAATAATTTTATTGAATTGATGATTGTAAAGTACCTATTTCTTTCAACTAAACATACATTCATATATGTGATTAATAAAATAGACGGCATATGTTAATTATATGATGTGAAGGAGTGCTAGCATAGGAAAATCAGAAACCGTTGAAACCGGTTGAACAACGTTTTGAAATTTTGAAAAGTCCGATTATGTGTGATTTATCAATGACGTTGCCGTTAAAAATGCTAACTTATACAGGGTGATTCTTTTTTCAGTTCATATAGCAAGTTAGCATCATTAGAAGGTGATTAAGATAACTCATCTAAAGACTATGTTTATGTTTTTTTTTATATCTAAACGACTCATTATCCTACCTAATGGTGGTGAATAAATCAATTTCTGGTACCTAATGTTATTTACTACAAACTATCCACTAAACCATTTTTGTGTTCGCTTGTTATAAATCGCTGTGTGATGTACTCTCCATCAGGCAACTTTGTCATTCTGAGAAAATAACGATAACGTTTTTTTGCACAGTAGAATATAGCAGACGCCAATTAATCGAATGATCACCTGTAGACTTATTTTGAAATACCACTCCTCGTCAGTGCAGGACAGATCCAACCATGAATGTGGAATTTGTGAGCTCTGGTATCATCTAGTTCTAGAGAAAGCTGCAGAGAGATAGACAGAAATCATACCTCATTAAGCAGTCAATGTATTTCCCTTTGTAATAAGTTAAGGATCGGAATTATGGATCGTCCTCCATTTCCTAAGAGTTTCTCAGCTTATTTTTCGATGTTAGTTGTTGACATCTTCAACAGTATTCAAGTCTTCAATAGTATAAAGACTACTTGAGTGAATAAAGTGGTTGTATTTTATATTCTCGATAGGATTGAGTATGAAATATGTATGTAATAATTACGCAAAAAGAAAACTTGTAACGAAACTGTTAGAAATTTGAGAAAATATTACTTTAGTAAGTATGTTATGGATTTTCTTGATACTTCACAGAGATTTGAGTTTATCGTTGTATTGAGACGAATTTTCTACAAGAAGGAAGTTCAAATTAGAATACATATATTTATTATTATTCTCATTTTTTTCAATAGCAGTTACAAAGTTTTTACCATTGCTCTGAGATATGTTGAAACATGTTTATATTTCATTAGAACTGTATATTTTTTAAAATATTCAGTTTTTCATAGAGATAGAAATATTTCAAAAACACAATCGTTTTCATTAACTCCATCCATCAACTGAGGTTACAGGGTGATTCCTTCTTTAGCCAGCTCATTCTTGTACTTAGTTTTATAAATATTTTCAGGGTCATATTTGGCGGTGAGTTCATCAAACATTGGCCTCTTGTTTTTGCTAAGGAATTTTATCACTTTTTTCGTAAGTTGTTTTTGTTTATCGCTACACTTTGAACATTCAGTCTTCAGAGCATCTGGGATATTATCTGGAAAAAGAATATAATCTTTACAAAATATTTGTTGTGAATTAATTCAGTTCGAAAAACTTTGTTAAATTTTTTTTAATCATGACTTTCATAATGATAAACTTTTTTTTCATAAACGCAATGCTTTCGTATTATATTCAAAAATGCATGTATAAAAACTTATATTGTGTGAAGTAAAAGGGGCAAACATTGACAATTCTTCATAATTTCTTTTTTATTAGATCTGTTTTTTTTAAATCTCTAATAATTTCCTGAGACAGGCATACTGTATATAGTAATACTGAGCAATGATGTACGTAATGTTCTGATTTTCACTTTATCATAAAAAAATTGTTTTTAAAAATTTTGTACGGTGTCAATGTTACCCCATCATACATAGTATAACATTGACACCCCATATAAATTGAAGCCTAAATCAATATAAAGGAATCGTTGAGCAACATTGACACACATAAATTTGTTTTACGGCCTTTTTAGGTAGAAACGAACAATTTTTTCTTATTTTGTTTTCAAAACCAAAGACTTATTGGGTAAAGCAGCCTAATCATATTTTTATTCCGAATAACACAAAAATAATATAATGTAGGAACCTTATTATTAAAAACTGGAACTCAAACTAGGAATTGCATCTCACAAACATACAAACTGAATTTTGGTACGTGACTTTGGCAAGGTAACAATATTAAACTGATAAATTTTGGCAACTTCACTAATGTGGGAACTTTAAAAAAATGCATTTCTCTATTTATCGTATCTTATATCATTAATATCGCCATCCTTTACTTCTACAACCTTTCCTATGTAATGAAGGATATTTAACGACCACCCAATTCCCAAGTTTAATGTTTTGAATGTCAGCATGGGTACTTCTTTGACTGTTGTTTGTTTCAGCCTCAATTATCTCATTTCCTCCTTCTTCTTCAATTATCTCATTCTCTACTAGTTCCTTTTCTGCAATGATCGAATCTTTCGGTAGATTGTCACTGTTATTATCATGAATTAACCTACTTTCTGACGAACTGAAACTAGGTTCGTGTGATTCTCGTGTCTTTCTTTTATTTCTTGTTTGCCAATGGTTGCTTCTGGTTTTTCTTATTTTTAGATTGCTTTCATTCTTCCTTCCCACGAAGTCTTTTTAAAACATCTTTGTATGTTAGACTTTAAGCAAATTTTCTGTTTACTCTGTTTTTCTTCATAACGCTTGATTTTTTTTGTGTTTTCAGTCCTTAGGACTGACAAAAATGAATTTGCTGGACTTGTTTTAATATCTTCTGGTGTAGAAGGACAGGGTATCTGTTCTGCTATTTTATTCCTTATGTTATAAGTTGTCGACGGCAACTGACCTTTTTTACCTCCAGAAGATGTGGATAGCATCTGAGCAGAATCCATCTGAGCCATACCTCTTCGTCAACAAAAATTTCAAATTATAAAATTTAATTTCCGTATTATAACAGAGTAAAATTGATTAATATTTGAAATCATTTTTCGTACCGATGAAAATCTGTAATTCTTGGGATTTTCATCAGAACGTAAAAAAGGATCGGTTCATCATCGTATTTTTATAAGTATACTATATGTAAATATTTGAAGATGGAGGTTTTTAGAAACCCAAAATATCGTTATTTCGAGGCCACTCTGAAGACAATATTTCCAAAATGCCAAAGAACCAATTTTTTTTTTGATTTCTTATAGTACAGCTTAGATATTTTGTATCTATGATCGTCATCTGGGATGACGATATTCAAAAATTTACTAATAGAAATGGCATCACTAATAGATGTATCTCATATGAGAGCATCTCCAGTGAACTTATTTTTCGTTTCAGTTTAGGAATCTTCACTTCCATTATAAGGGAAATTGAACAAGTATTTTATCATCAGAGTTTTTTTGTTTGGCTCAGACGTTCAGTCATTCAGTCAGTCGCTTAGCTGGTACCAATCAACATTAAAATAGAAATGGATAGAATGTATTGGTGATTGGAAGAGTTAAAGTTCCGACGATGATGATCTGAGTTTTTGGTGATGATAATGAAATGAAGAATATTAATACTAGGTTAGGTTAGGTTCAAAGTGAGTGGGTCTATTTGACCCTCCACCGCAACACTCAAGGGTTTATTGAAGCTCACACCTATTCACACTCGACCAAATGAACCCAGCTTCTTAACGAAGCCGATTAGTTTATATGGTGAGTGGTCTTACAGGTCAGATGGTAAGCGTATGGCTCTGTCGAATTCAATAGCGTAAATGTCCGCTTGAAATACAGTCGCATAGGTTCCTAGGCAGGTTGATATCTCTGTCCTGGGTCAGCAATTGAAAACACCTGCACCAGAACCGGAAGGTGTTTTTGATCCATCTGTGAACCAACAACTATCTGCTCTTGATATTTCCTTCTCCCGGAGGATGCAATCCTCTCTACTCGGGAACAGTACTTTATAGGGCAGTTCGTAGTTGACAGTTGGTGGCATACAATCAGAGGTCATTACCAGGATGCTGTGACCTCCACTGTCAACCAAGAGACTGTTGCACTCTGCATTAAATTGATTTGTGCAGTAGGCAATGTGCACAAGTCTATGTGCAGTTCATCCAGCCTGTCTTTCCAGAAAAATGTGGAGAGGAGGTAGATCTAGAGAGATATCGATGGCCGCTGACGGTGTGATACTTATAGCCTGTCTCTGTAGGCCAGAGAGCTTCGCCTGGGCCGTTTTCTGTAAAGCCTTCGGCCACCAGGCAATTGCAACGTAAGTGTGATCATTGGTCTGACAATCATCTCATAAATCCAAAGGATTTGTTTGGGACCTGAACCTCAAGTTTTACCACAAATCCTTCGAGATGTCCATAGGGACAGTCTGGCTTTGTGTAAAACTTTTTCCAAGTGAGCGTTCCAGGCCAGTTTTTCATCAAGGACAATGCCAAGATATTTCACCTCCGTTCCGATTGGAATGACCTCGTCCAATTTTCTTCTCCTGGTAAAGGGGATTAGCATAGTTTTGCTGGGGTTGACAAACATCTGCTCCCTCAGGCATCAACTGGGAACAACGTCTATCATGCTTTGGAGGATATTACAAGCCATCCTTCCCGACGTGGACCTTGCCAAAATGACAAGGTCATCTGCATAAGCTTGCAAATCTACTTTTCTTCTGTCGAGGGCATCAAGCAGACTATCCATCAGTAGCGCCCACAGAAGGGGAGATAGTATCACACCTTGTGGGCAGCCTCTGATGACCCTGAACCTAATGGCCTCACTTCGAAGATTCGTAGCTGCAGTTCTGTTCACCAGCATGGCATAGATCCAGCCAGTTATGGTCGATTCTATACCTTTCCTAGCCAGAGACGATCCTATGAATTCAGGTAGTGCATTTTCAAATGCTTCTTCGATATCGAGAAATATAGCAACCGCAATCTCCTTGTTGTAATGGGATTGAAAGGTTTTCTCTACAAGGTTGTTTAATGCTAAATCTATCGATTTGCCGGTTTGTAAGCATACTGGTGGTTATTCAGGGGGTATGCATATAATGCCACCCTCCTGATGTGTCCGTTCAGTATCCTCTCAAGTCACTTCCACAGGAAGGATGTGAGGCTGATTGGTCGTACCGATTTAGGGTGTGGGATATTATATATGAATTGTGGATGTAAATAGTCCCCTTTCTCACTTTTGAAAGAAGCAAGATCATAGCAGAGGCATACTGAGGAATACTGAAAAAAAATTCCAATTGTTATTTATTTCATTCATGAAAATGAATCTTTACAGCTTTCTACATCATTTAGTATTCCATGTAATATCACGGATATGGTAACAAATTACAAAGTGATACCCTCCTTAGCTAGCTCATCCTTGTACTTTTTTTTGTAAATATTTTCAGGATCATATTTGGCGACGAGCTCATCAAACATTGGTCTTTTATTTTTGATGAGAAATTTTATCACTTTTTTCGTGGTTTCTTTCTGTTTGTCACTACATTTTGAACATTCGGTTTTCAAAGCGTCCGGAAGATGTTCTGCAATCAAAATATCAATAAATTAATGCTTTATATAAATGAAATACATATATCATTAAAATTGAACAATACCTATCACTAATGAAAGAATAAAAAAATTCATTGAAACCAGAAAAAATATCAAATTCAATAAAAACTAAAAAGAGAAATTCCGTAAGATTCCAGACGCTGAACTCTACGTAAAAGTAGCAACCTTATTTAGATAGGATCATATCGATTTTCCAGTACAGCAAATAAGGAACTCGCATTCCCTGGGGTTTCAATACGTCTTCTTTTTGCACGATCATGACCGAAGAATCGTCGTACCTAATCCAGCAGTTGTAGCCGACGTGGAAGGCATCGGTCACATAGTGTCCAATGTTGGCATTTTTCCTTTCGTGGTAAACGACGGCGAATAACTTGTATTGTTTCTCTGTTGGAGACTGTGTTTCCGACGATATCAAAGTCGAATCAAACTTCAAGTCGAATTCAAAATCAAAAGCCTTGATAATCTTCTAGCAACGGTCGTTGCTTCGAAATACTTCAGATGCAAAATAAGAATAACTGGAAGTTTGCAGAGCGTAATTTGCTCCCACGCTTCGACGTTCTCGTTTGTTTTCGACGAAGTCACTCCCTCTAAAATGTTATTGGAGACAAGCACTTTAAGCGCTTCTCCGACGGTCTTCACTTTCTCAATGTTGAGTGGCAGGGTGAGGAAAGGCTGTGTATTCTCAGTAATGTGGTCCACGTTAATATGAATGCTCGACTTTAGTTGTCCCCCGAAGATGTCACTTATCGGTGTATTGGTGAAATCGATCCTTCTGGTTGGATGTCCTTTATTTTTCGATTCTATTATGTTCCACATATTATTTGAATCATTGCTCAGAGCAGAGTCAACGAGAGGTTTTTCATCTTTAATATAATATTTAACCAACTCATTTAACTCAAACATTTCATCATTGAGTCCATTCAAAAGAAAACCTAGATACTCTTCTGCATCTTGTTGTCTACTATCGATCCAGTCAGT